ATATATATATACACATATACATACTTGTATTTACACTTATGTGGGTGTGTGTGTGTGTGATGCACGTGTGTACGACCCTTCGTGGCAAAGGTCGTCCCATTTCAGCCACCAAGCCGACGCCCGACACGACCGTTGCTCACTGTGCCGGGGCCAGGTGGGCAGAGCCGTCGCGACGTATCCAATGCTTTGTCAACTGAATAGCTTGGCACTGCAGAGGGGTTCGGCGCATGTCTGGCATCCACGTCGTGGTCACGGCCCTAGTTCACTTCGAGATACTGATATGACGACCTCGTCGGCGTCGTTGAGGAAACGCCGAGCTCCACAACCTCACCCTGCGAGTGCCCTGCATCCGAGATTGGGGCCGAGCAGGTGGATCAACAACTATCAGTCAACTATCAAGACCCTCACCGAGCCCCCCCCCCCCCCCCCATGCAGTGCTTCCGTGCAGTTCTGCCAGGCTGGACCGACTGCCGAGGCACGATGAGGGGTGCTAGTAAGTCCGCGGGGCAGCCGGCACATGCACGACACGAGTTCTGCATCTCAACGAAGAGAAACTGATTGGTCCTCATGACAGCAGTTGAGAGGTAAGCTCCAAGGATATGGTGAGTATTTTGTCGACGGCCTTTCTTGCGAGCAAAGCTTTGCTTTCAGCGATCCTTGATCTCCCATGCACAGTTGTTATATTGTTCGGAAGATCGTAACTGTCGAAACCATAGCTCTTGAAGGCAGAGGCACCTACAGACTTCAATCCAAACAGCCTGTTCGTACACGGCATTCTGGGTGCACTAGTGGCTAGTGTTATTTTCAAGATCTGTCAGCTGGTCGACCGGCTGCTGTGAAGGCTTGAGGCCAAGGATGGCTCTTCCTGCGGAAGCCGAGCTTTCGGAGGAGCAGGTGCTCAGATATCTGGCGAAGCTCCAGCCGGACCAGGCGGCGGCTTTGCTGGCGTCGGCCCAGAAAGGCCAGAGGCCGGACTCGCAGCTGGCGGGCCCGGAGGAGGATGGGTCCCGAGATGGACTGGACAGAAGCGACCGGACAGAGTCCGCAAAGGAAGCAATGCGTGCAATTGCGGCAGGCAACTTTGCGATTGCCCAGGAACTGGGCCCACAGTCAGACTTGTGCTGTCTTGGTGAAGACGGATGGGGCTTCCTGCACTGGGTCGTGCACGTTGCCGGCGCTGCAGGTGCTGCCTCAATGCAGAAAGAGGACCATGCAGTGGGATGCCAATGCTGTCACACCTCGTCCGCCCACAGGAGAGGCCCCGCATTTGCACTGCTTCAAAATCTGTTGAGCTCCGATGCAGGGCGTTCGGCAGTAGATTTCCCTACGTCACAGGGCGCCACTCCGCTCATGTTTGCTGCAGACGCTGGTGACGAAGAGTCATGCGAAGAGCTGCTGCGAGCAAGGGCCGATGTTTCGTTAAAGGACTGTGATGGTGACACTGCAGAAGCATGGGCTTTGGCAAAAGGCAACAAAGACTTGGCGAGATTGCTGCACAGCGAACCATAATCGACACTCTGGGTGGATCGGATTCAGTGTACAGTAGCTGATGAGACCGATGCTTCACGCATATTCGCAGTGTGTTGTCGTCGATGAGGCGAGTAAATAGGGAGTGCCGGCCTGCTGGAGTGTTGCATGGCCTCTCGCGCGTTTGCCAGATTAGTTAAGGTTTGGATTATTTGTGCTGGTTTACGATTGCGCAGGCATCTGCTGGGGCAAGGCCGGAACGGACAAGCCTTCGTCGAGCACGGTGATAGTAAAGCGATATAAAGCGTAGATACTGTAGTGTGCAGCTTGCAATGCTTCCTCAGCTTTAGCCAATGCGTGGTTTCTCCGGCTCCTCCCATCTCATGTCTCTGCTGCAGTCGAGATCTCTGGGAGAAGTTGCTGGCAGGATCTGGTCACAATCTGAGAGGCACAAGTACAGTGGACGCGTGACTGCTACGCTGCAATTGTTTTGAGGCTTAAGTGGACCCAGCGGCAGAGGCCCAAGGGTTGCAAAGGCTTCATTGGACACTTGCTGTGCTTGTTTTCTTTCCGATCGAAGAGGCAGGGAATGAGAAAGGGATTTCTTCTGCGATGACCTGCTGGCTTTGGCTCACAGCACGAATTCACCGAGTTGAAAAAGGCTGCATCCCAGCCTTTGGCACTTCCTTTGGAATCATGTGCTTCGCTTCTCACATGGCAGTGCAGGCAGTGCAGGCTGGCCCAAAGCCGCAACCGCGCCGAAGTCACATCCGCCTCTGCAAGTCCAACGTGGGAAGGCTGACGGCTGCGGCCGTCGCTGCCATGGCAGAGACTCGGCCAGAAGTCTGATGCTTCGGCACGGCGGCACTGCCGGCACGGTCATATGAGTCATATGTCTGAGCAGTGTCAGGAGACGACTTGCAGTTCTTCGAAGCGACGCATTCGGCAGCGCCTTCACAAGAAGTTGGGCTCCATACTCACCAAAGCAGAGTTTGCTGAAGCGGTAGAAGTCCTGAAGGATCTGGAAAGGCCGCTTGGCAGCGAATGAGCACCTTCTACACTGTTCTACACGTCGGCAAGCTGATTAAACAGCTTTCTCAAGCAGTGCGGCTGCGAGGCAAGCGCTGCTGACCAGCCAAGCGTCGGATGAAATCATGGCCATGTCCTCAAATCCTGCAGCTTGCCTTTAGCATATTGCACCAGCTTCCACACCCCTTTCAGTACGCATCTTTATGGGCATTCAGTAGCGGCAGGTCCATGGAAACATCAAAAGCCAAGGACGGCAGCGAGGCGAGCCGAGGTTGTGATTCCACTACAGGGGAAGAAGAGACTTGGCTTCACATAGTGTCAAACCCTGCTGCTCCTTCGAGTGGCATGCGCGTGTATCGGCTCAGGACGAGCATCTCGAGATGCAAGCACGATTGCTGACGACACCACTTCCAGTAGAGAGAACCTTCATCCACTTCAAAACGTCTGTCCAACCGACTCGCAGACGGTCCCACTCCGTGTAGACCGGAACGTGCCATGATTGCTTGCCTTCGTAATTCGGGCCATGGTGGAGTTTTCTCTGCCCGCAGATCCTCTGAGATACTGAGGAACTAACGGTGGACTCTGTAAAGCTACTCGCCTGCTCGACATATCTCACAATGTCTAGATTGCCGCTGCTTCGGGCTTGAGGCCTGGAATGTGCAGCAGTTTCCCAAATCTTTCCATTGACGTAATTGGCACACCAACTTCCGAGGAGCCGACCTTTCGAGTAGTTGGGGTGCCATGTCATGTCGTACAGTCCGTTCCCTTGGATCACAGGTCTCGGGATCGTCAGGCCTGGTAGTTTGGAGACCCAGGCTTCTTGCACAGATTCGTGTTCTTGCAGGCCTCGAGGCCGCTTTGAACGTGAATGTTCCACTGAAAAAAAACCCAGCGTGCTCTAGGAGACTCCAGGTGCCTAGGTCCTACTTAGCCTAGCAGGTTTTGGTCTCAGCCTCCGCCAGGGCCAGGGCCTGGGAATCCCCGAGACGAGACGGTCCACCAGCCAGAGGACCAGATGAAAGCTGTCAGGGTTTAGGGTTTAGGGTTTAGGGTTTAGGGTTTAGGGTTTAGGAGGGTGCTTTGGGACGGCATCTGCCATCTGCTACACAGCAACACCAATGCAGGGGCGCTCGACGTCGAGGTGTGGCAGCTGCAGTTGCTCTTACTTCCGCTCCCAATTTACATAGTCGAGTTGCATCAGCGTTGACTCTCTATTATATCCTTCCGCCGCCCCCAGCTCATTTACCCGTAGCAGAGGTGTTATTTTGACGTGGTAGCTGCTCGAGAACCTAAACTATGGATGCCGCCATTCTCTCTTAAGTAGCAGTTCTCAGCCAGACTGCCTTTCACGTCGAGTTGTTTGACTTTGTCTCGGCAATGCGTCGCCTATCCTTGCTTTTGTTGACCTGGACATCGGTGAGCCAGGCATCACTGATCGCCCCTTGACTTGATAGGTCTCAGCAAGCTGGTACTGAAATCTGAATCAGGTCGCGGCGTAGAGCGGGAAAGGGTTCTCGTGATTTCGAGGGCAAGTGCGAGAGCTTTGGCAGTCTGGCAGCTTCCGGCGAAAAGAGGGTTGCGTAGATTGAAGCTCAGCAAGTTGAGACAGCAGCGTTCGAGGTCAATGTTCCAACTACAGGAGTCCCGCCATGTAATGCCAAGGTCTATGTGGGCTCGGCAGGCTGCGATGAGGACGACACCTCTTGTCACGACAGCCATCAACCACCCAGTGAGCTCTTTGCTTACGACGTTGCCTGGCGATGGTAAAGCCCGTTGAGCTGAATGGTGCTTTGAGTGGATGTGCCGGAAAGCTTAGGTTCTGAGAAATGGGTTCGTCGTTCCCAATCCGCAGTTGCATGTTGACGTTGGCGGACTGCCTCTGTGGCTCACTGTCATTGAGTCGGATGATCTCGACCAGAAGTGCATGTTTGCCGCTCTCGCCAACCACCAGATTCGGGTGTTGCAAGACCCGGGCTCTTCGCTGACAGCCTTTGAACCGATTCAGTCCATGCCATCTGGTGGTTCAACACCGGTTTTCGCAATCCCGAGCCTGGATCAAAAGTTTCTGCTCGTGGCAAACTACAACTCCAACGACGATCCTTCGGGCGCTGGCGTGACTGCTTTTAGGATACAACCAGATTGCCAGCTGACACCGACCAGCATTGTCACCCATCAGGGATCCTCAGTGGACTCTTCTCGCCAGCTTGCTGCGCACACCCATGGCTTGGTTATGTCCTCCAGGCACAACATAGTTTATGCCTTCGACCTGGGCATGGACGTGATCTTTTCATACAAGAGCCCCGCTTGCAAGATGAGCTTAACCTCCGAAAAAGCAGCTCGCGCAACTGCCCTAGCTAAAAGGTCAGTCACCTACAAATAGCTCAGAATCACGTAAGTTTTGCTGGTGGATTTGCACCCGACTAGTTTTCAGATCCCTTGTCCGGCCACGGCGGGCTGCGATTGCAGACATGGCACCCATTCAGTCTCTTCATCACGATTTCGGCGAGAAAGAAATCTCCCCAAGTCTCGAGGCTCTCTGACACTGGCCAGCTGCAAGAGCTGCAACGAACGGAGGCCTTGGGGACGTTGTCACTAGCAGTCGGCAGAGAAACGATATGCAACCCTGTGCTAAGATGTCAAAGATCTTACGTGAAAGTGCTCCTTTCCGATATATGGCGTGGTCACCTAGTGCGTGGCCAATTGATTCACTGCTTGCCCAGTTGATTCAGCCTTCAAGTCATCGGCTTCGTTCATCCGCGGTTGATAAGAAACGAAGCATATAAGCAGGTATTGCCCTGAAGTGATGTCACATGGCGGTGCACACTGTAACGAAATATCTGCCCAGGTTTAGTAACATGCTTGCTGCTTGATGTCGGTTTGGAAGCAGATGCAGCAATGCAGGTTCATCTGTTTCGCATAAATTCTGGATGTGGAACGTATCTAGATTCCAGATGGACTGAATGCATGCATGCAGATATTGCAGGAGTTTGCATAGGAGATCTTGATATTTAGTTGTTTCTAGGTTGATAATTGTGCATGCGTCAGTGTCAGTGGCAGTATAGATAGTTTTTGTACGGTGCACGCCTCGCAAGCCTCGACGACATCTCAAAGACTATTTGTGGCCTTTGAAGGTGCTTCCGGCATCGGGTCCGCGGCACGGACTGGAGCACCCATCACTGCCGATCTTGTACGTCATCTGTGAGATGAGCAGCTTATCTGAAAGGGTGCTGGGCAAGTGTCAAGGCCTTTCCTCTCTGCAACGCTCGAGTTCGGGCATTGGCTTGCTAAGGCAGGGTAGTCCTTGTGTACCAGGAGCCGGCGGCTGCCTCGAAACATGAAGTTCTCGGCTGTCTGAGCCGCGCTGGAGTGTGGAGCATCTGCCAACCAACGTCTTGCAACGCACTAATTGTGAGTGGCTTTCTGTTTTCGCGGTTTGTTGGCATCGGCCAGCAACAAAGCATGCCATCGATCCATTCGCACACACAAGACAAAGCATCTTTGCATATGTTCGTATCGCCCATTGTAGATGTTGATGTAAGTAACGGTCAGGTGCAGGTGTATTTGTTAGCTCACGGCGGCGTAATTCCCCAATCAAGGGGGGTTTTGGGGTGTCTACTGGACCCGTGCAGGCGTCGGAGCAGGGTCTTAACATGGCTCTCTTCAGGTGTGCTGGGTGGGTCGGCTTCGTCACTCCCTTCATGCATCGTCCCATGGCTACCGGCTTCCTTCATGGATCCGAGCTTGAACTACACGAGTTACTCGTTGCGCTGCATGGCTGGGTTGGGCTGTAGAGCCGTAGAGGGTGCAGAAGGCCGCGACGGGCTTTGCAGCAGTATGGCGGTCGACTGCATAGCAGCGTGGTGCGTGGCACCGGTTAAAGGCCATGTGGCGCAACGGCATCGGAAAATCGAGCTAGTGGGACACTCATGCATAGTGGCCCTACTAGAGCAGCTGGAGCAGACGACAGAGCAACTCGAAATGGGCTGATCCTTGGAAGGGGACTGAGAGACGGGAGCAAGCGAAGAGACAAGGCCGCGAACCCCATGCACATTCACAGTTCTGACGCCTTGGCTTGGCAGTGCACGCAGGAGCTTGATGATGGCCGGTTGAGCCTTCGACAGATCAACACAATACGCCTGGAAGAAGCAGACGAAGACAGCAAAGCCGCCGAGATCACAATGCTGGCTTCCGGAACGACGCTATATGCTTCGAACCGGGGTGCGAAGGACTCGTCCAACACTGCCTGGCCCTTGGTCTAGGGAGATGCATGGACCTGTTTTGGAGAAAGTTCGCCTAAAACAGACTTGGAGCTCAGAGTGACTGTGCTGCCAAAAAAACATCCGAAGACTCAGGTCACTGCCTTCCGTATCCTTGACAATGGGCACCTGAAGGAGCCAAGACGGAATGGAATAGCGGTCCAGATGACAATTTGTTCGTTGCTTTTGGCTTGTTTCTTTGGTGATGCCAGGAGATGCAGCAGATCAAGGCTCCCGCGTATCCGCGCGGAATGACGCCCTGGACTCAGAACTACCCAGGGGTACTGAGCTTCTACGCCGATTCTACGCTATGCCAGAAGCTCCAACGCTTCCAGGTTGATCCACGATGACAGTATTTTGCTTGTGGCGGGTCAATCCAACAGTGACCTGGCAGTTTACAGAGTGCAATCCGAAGGCGGGGAGTGCAGTCCTTGGCAGGCTCTCGTTTTGTCGCTTCGGGAGTTCGGAGAGCGTGGATTTCGCCTGCAGGAACCCTCAGTGAGCAATACACTCTGCGTCGAGGGTTGCCACCGCAGCCAGCAGCTTTTGCAGTGTTGCAAGAACCAGCTGGGGAATTGTAGGTGTCGTGGGCGCTATAAGCAGCTGCTCCCGTCCCTGCTAGGACTCTATACGCTGATAGACTATCCGGCATCTCACTTATCATTGAAACTGTCTGGGACTGGTTTGCACATCTTTGTGCCCGTTCGTCGTTTCTCGTGGAACGTTTGATGTGTGCTGGAGCCGGCTTTTTCTACGCATCACCGGCCTACGATGCAGATAGGAGAGAGAGCAGGAGAGATGCGACGCCGGTGATGCGAAAGGGCAGAGCAATGATGGTTGCTTTCTGCCTGGGCGGTTTCAGCTAATTCGTGCAAAGCGTCACGGAAAACATCCTTTGTGGCGGGGAGCGCGGTAAGTACGGCTTCACCGCTTCAAGGTTTTCCTTGGTCTCACCTCCATGGCGCACATCTGCTAGTATTCCAGTATTCCGCAGATGATGCGCTTGCTGAACCTGCGTAGTGTGTAGTGCGAACTCCTAGGAAGGATGGGCACGGCGGGCAGGAGGATCGGGCGGCCTCGGCTAAGGGGACAGCTTCCAGAAGATTGACGCAGGGACGCTTCGCTTAGTGAGCCCATCACGTCCATCCACGTCTTCGGAGGAGCTGGCTTAGAAGGGCCATTGGCCCACAGAAGGAAACAAAGCCTGAACAGATTCTCCGGTAGCTCTGATGTTTTCTGAACCAGATCTTCGAAGGATTCGTGAACCGGGTCCTGCAGTCTCTCAGTCGACTTTGGGTTGTCGGAAGCTCTCGTGTCAGGCAGCTTCCTTCCGCAGCGGCCGCGTCGTTCGACCAGGCGAGATGGCGGCGCTTCAAGTCGGCTTGGCATGGCCCATATTGGACTTTGCCGGTTCTTGTCATGACATGCATAGTCCCCACCTTTACACACTCGCGGTCGCCTGGTCTCTGTTTGCCCACATATGCGCGCTCGGGCTCCAACTTCTGCAGGCACTGAAACGAACTGAAACGCATGGAGAACTGGCCACACCAGGCTACAACATCATCAACCATTGCATTAGAGCGCAAGACAAGCCGCTGCATCCCTCATCCACAACGGTCCGGGTTGTCTTACTATCCATGGCCCCATGGGGCGCCGACGCAGCGCCTGGGGCGCCTGGGCAGCGGGGCTCGCGGCGTTGGGTCAGGAAGTGGGATGGGCGGGACCCACACCTATTGTCGCAGAAAAACTCCTTCCCACCTCGGGCCTTGACCTTCGAGGAGGCCTTTGTTGGAAGGCATCTGCCAGGGCGTGCGGTGATCCCACAGAGGCGGCGCTGCAGGCTCCGGCAACCGATCTGATCAGTACCATTTAATCTGCCGGAGATCGCATCACTTGTTCGACACACCCTTCTTGGGAGGACCTGCACATTGTCGCAAGACGAGCTGTGGGGCAGCTGGAATGCGTGCCTCGCAAGCACTCTTTGCCTGCACGCGTCACGTAGCTGATCTCTGCTGTGGGTCAGGAACATTTCAGCCTATGGCGCTGATGCGCCTCGCGCCACCTGCCTGCATTGCGCGAGCACAGAATCCGGGGCCCCCTTGCGACACTGAGGGCTTTGCTGAGATGGCGATTATTCAGGAGATCTTTGAGCGCTGGGACAGGCACGTCTTCTACTGTCTTTCGCTGCAACTAGTCGGAGTAGGCCGTGAATCCCCCGTCTGCATGATACTTTCAGGGATGGCAGCGGGGAGCTTTCATTGGAAGAGTCGGAGGCTCAGCCTCACGGTGTCCATGCGGGGGAATCGGAACAGCAATCCTGGCTTTAGCTGCACTATTTCAAGAACGTTCGGCGCAGCTTCGGGACGCATGCAGTAAGCCTGTAAGTGGTTTGGCATGCTCCGTGACGAGGCAAGCTGCATGAGAGGAGTAGGCTGCAGCCTTTCCTCAATGTCCTCCCGGAACCCGCCTGTTGACTTGACGATGTTCTCATGCTTTCGAGAGCAGAGACCGGAAGCAGCGAAAGCATGTCGAGCTGTAGTCGGAGGCACACTGGTCCTTCACGGCACTATAAAGCCACGCTGGTCCAACTGTCTTGGGCAAAGCCGGCCCACTGTGGCTGCTTTTGCGGCTGTGACTGCAGCACTTGGGCAGAGGAGTCGACTCAGATGCCGGCGATCCGAACAGAAGAGCCATGCAGCAACGAAGCAAGGACTCTTGCAGCTGGATGTTTCTCCGAACGGGCGACGGCTGGTGGCAACAGGGGATTGCGAAGTGGGTGAGGTGATTTGGCACGAGCTGCCTTTATTTGTATGGCAACGCGGAGTGTCTCCAAGAGACAACTGCTTGAATGCGATTAAGGCTTTTGCAGATCTTCCAATTGCTGTGCAACAACACATTTTGAGCTTCTACTGCCCAGAGAACCTGGAGCTGCCACACACAGGTCTTTCTCTGACGGAAACCAATCGCCGCCTCCTCCTCATTCTTGAGGTGTGCTGCTCGGGGCTGCCGTCTGGCTGGGCAGGCTTGTTTGAGCACGTTGCGTATGTCAATCATAGCTGTGCACCAAACGCAGCTATACGGGCCTCAGCAGCATCAGGATTATCACGCCAAGAGTCATGCTGCCAGTATAGGATCCGCTTCGTGGCTTTGCGTGCCATTTCCAAAGGGGAGGAAATCACAATCTCATACATAGAGGAGGGCCTTTTGAAGCAGCCTGTGAGAAGTCGACAGCGCTACTTGCGTTCTTGGGGCTTCAGGTGTGCCTGTGTGCGTTGTGCTGCTCTTTGTGATGACACTCGTCAAATCCGACATGGCAGTTGGACGCTGAGCGCATCCGCAGAGACAGGTCTGCTGGCTGCCTGGCCTTCAAGGCTTCCGAGCTACAAAAAAGTGAGTCGACTGTTGCAGAAAATTGAAAGTCGCTGGTGGCGAGAGCGTGCAGACTTGTCAAAGGAGCGAGAAGCTGCTGAGGATGCCCGGATGCGACGATTTGCGCTTGGCCTTGGGCAAGAGCGTATGTGGCGAGAGCGAGGAACCCGCTTGCGCCGCCGATGCTGGATGTCGCGCACACTAGACCTGTACCGACAGACGAGAGATTCCTCACATTGGCTGGCTGCGGACGTGGCTCGCGATGCTGCCGAAGCCTACTTATGGCGAGCTGAACCTGCAAGAGCAGCTGAAGCTGCAGGACAGTGGCACTCCTTCTTGAAAGTTGCCTTGGCCGGAGGCCTTTCACAGGAGTCCGCTTTGGCCTTGGAAGCGCAGGGCGCGGCACTGGAAATGCTAAAACTGTGCGAGAAGGCTAAGGCGACATATCAAACTGCATTGGACGAGATTCAACCTCTGCGGAACGACTGGGATGACGAGGACTTCTTTGTGTCGTATTTAGAACGGAAGGTCGCCATGATGTGAAGCGCGCATACAGGATTCAAGGTACGCAAAGACGTCGAACCCTGTCTGCGAACCTCAGTGGCCGAATCGTCTAGTTGTCTCTAGGTGTCTACGTGGCATCCCGCACACAGTCGGAGGCCGAGTGGCACGAAGAACCGTGTGGGGTGACGATGTCGCTCACTGGCACCCGCAGGATTACACTTGATGGTTTCCTGCATTCGAGCGGACTTGCTGGCAGCGGCGTTCGTCTCATCAAAGCGAACACAGCTGCATCAGACAGCGGGGACAATCCAGCTAACAGTGAAAGCTCCTGCGCTCCCACACGCTGGATATGTTCCGCACGCTTCGGGCTGTGAACCGATGCTGCGTCACAAAGAGTCGCGTCGGACTGTGAGTCGGGGATGAGTCTGAGACAAGGGGAATGTAGCAGAGTAGTGTACACCACACCTCCATCCTGCCGTTTGGATGATCTCTCGGGCCACAGGTGATTTGTTGCCGTCCGCTCAGGTTCCGTGACGGCTTGCGCCGCGAAGGCTCAGCGCTGATAGCAGCAAGGCCTACCAGTTCCAGGACCCTGCTCATGTAAAGATATGTAAAGCCATCTCATAATGTACAGAGAAGAGCATTCATTGAAGAGCGGTACTGCCTGAGGCCGTAGTGGTTCACTTTAACACTATAAAAGACTGAACATCATCCAGAGCTGGTGGCAACGCAGGCGTGTGCATCACCCGCATGCAGCGAAGGGGTCGCAATCCTCTTAATGTGCAAGGTTTCCAAGAGCGATTTTGTGTTGCGCAGGCCATCATTCAAGGACTCCTTGCTGGAGCCGATTGGCGGCCACTTGCGGCAGTTAAGCCCGTGCGAAACAGCAGTCAGAGCATGCTCGGGTGCCAGACTCTGCAAGGTTTCTTCCACCATACCTGGCACTCAGTGTCCAGCGGCGTAAGCGCTGCCGGTGCAGGGTTGGCAGGGTACAGTACAGGCCGCACTTCTGAATTCACTGTTCGCTGTACTCAATCGCGCGACTCCGCGAGCTAGCACATACTCCGAAGCTGGCCAAGGGTGTTGTACGACATAGACTGCTGCTGCTGTGTGTGTGTGTGCATCAAGTGCAGCAAACGATTGTCTTACGATGAAGGAGGCTTCATCCTGACTCCTGACCGCTCCTTTCTCGCCAGGCTTCTGGGATGCCGCCGTGCACCGCAACTTGGCGCAATCTATGATTGGATACCCGGAGTTTTCGGGCCACCTGGGCCACCGAAGGCGTTACATGCTGGTCCAATGGCTGCCGGGTTGCCTGGAACGACGGGGCGCGGTTCGTCGGCTCCGCCCCGGGGGCAGTGGGCCAGGCGCAAGTCGTGATCGCCCGTACGTAGCGACAGCTCCAAGGCTCCCTCCGAAGCTTGAGCCAACGACTTCCCCGAGCCTGCGAGTCTACGCAAGTGATGGTTGCCGACGAAGTATGCACCTGTGCCTTGATGTGCAGATGCTGTCGCGCTAAAGCCCTTTCTTCCCTTTCCTCTAGCTCAGCGTCTGGCGACCCGGCCGTTAGCAGGAGCATGCGATTCACTGGACTTTGACGAGCTAAGCAAGTGTGGCCATGCGAGGTCATAGGTTCACCTTGATGGTAGCATACGACAAGGTTTGTAGCAAGGAAGTATTTCCTTGGTTGGCCTTGCGCAGGCGATCT